GTAAGCTATAAAAGGAAGACCGCCTTGTCTTCAGGGTGGACAAGCCCCACCTCCTCTCTTCCTTCCCACATTCTAAGATTCTTCTGGTAGGAAGGAGTTCCCCCCCACGAGGAAGAAATTCATCCCTCCATGAGGAAGGAGTACACCTCCCCCGTGAGCAAGGCATCCAACACCAACCCCCCCCAAAAGCAAGGAGTCCAACCTCACCCTAAGTCTGGCTTCAGGAGCAAGGAGCAAATCCCCTTCCAGGTGGAAAGAGTCCATCCCCCCATGAGGAAGGACTGGAACGTTCTTCACCTCCTCGGGGAAGGATCCGAGAGACATCAGCAAGGTGACCTCCACTAAACTGTCCTCTCCAGACCCCAAACTAGAGACGTCTTTAGAAGCGTTATCCCCGTGAACCTGATCACGGACCGGACGGTTTACTCCTCCGCGTGCTCGTCTCTCTCTCCGCCCCCCTCCAGGTTTACAAAGGTCGTCTATAATAGAAACACCTGGAAGAAACCCCCATGACATGCCGGTCTCCAGGTTTTTGGGAATCTACCTGCTGGAGGTGATCCTTTCATTGCACTTTGTATCGGATGCTTTTTGTGGGAGGAGCAACGATCCTGTAAACGGAACCCCTGGGGCCCCCGAGGAGCGACTCCAAACGTTGCTGAGGCAACTAACTAAAGAACTCTGAAGAACGAACATTGCCGACTTACAGATGGTGGTCCGGAGGAGAGGACAGAAAGTCACCCCCTGAGTGGGATGGAAGATCACGTGTCATGTGACGTGGCCCCTGTGATGGGATAGAAGAAGTGGCCCCTCCATGAACACTTTTCTGTTGGTTTCATGGAAGGCGGAGGTGCTCAGGAGACACAATGGCTCCATGAAAAGAAGAACGATATTGGGCTCGGGTTCCTTCTTTTGTTGGAAACTTTTTGTCAGTTCCTCATTTTTTTGGTGTATTTTTGATGTTCTGAAGGAAAATAGAGAACCGCAAAAGGTCAAGGCCGGGACCACGACCTCTGACCCAGACGTTCTGGAGATGTTCATCAAGATCACGAGACAAGGCTTTGGATCACAAGCACAGGGCCACCGTCTCCCTCCTGCTGGGCCGTGGCCTGTGCGCTCCGACAACTACAGCTGTCACACCAGGTTCAGAGTAGCCTGGAGGACCAGAGAACCTTCCGGGTGGCCCCTGTCTGCTGGGTCACCATAAAAGCCATCAGTGGATAGTTCCTGCACACAGAACGCTGTGATTGGAGGAGGCCGGGGGGGGGGCCACGTGCGGGATTGTCAGTCATCCTCCGGGGTTGCTGCTGGCTCCTGCCCTGAAGTTAGGTACAACCACTCACACCAGTGATTGGGGGGCTATTCCTCCCCGGGGGGGCCACAAAACCACTGACAACGATTTGGGGGCAGCTTTTCCCTGGGGTATACATTCCCACCGACACCAATGATTTGGGGGCTATTCTCTCCTGGGGGCCACATTCCCACCGACACCAATGATTTGGGGGCTACTCCCCTGGAAGCCATTTTCCCACTGACAGCAAATGACCTGAGGGCCATTACCCCCTGGAGGCCACAGTCTCACTGACATCAATGATTGTGGGGGCTATTCTCTCCTGGGGGCCACTATCACCAATGATTTGGGGGCTACTCCCTCTGGGGGCCAGTATCCTACGGACACCAATAGTTTGGGGACTATTCT